GGCCGAGGGACTCCCTGGCCCTGGCCCCCACGCAGGGAGCGGGGGCTCGCCGGGCTCCCACGTCCTCGTGTTCCCCGGCCCCTCGTTTACCTTGCGGGGACGTGCCGGGAGCTGCGGGCATGGGAGATAGCCAGAGATACCAGGGGTTTGGCACGGAGCTAGCGATCCCTCCTGCCAGGTGCGTGGCTGTAATAAAGTCAGGTGGTCCTTTGATCCTTGAGAAAACCCTTTGCCTGTTTTTAATTCATTGTTTCCTTCTCAATAGTTCAGAGAAATGTTTTTTCTCCTCCATGTCATGTTTCTCCAAGCAACGTTGCCGTTCACCCCAGGGGCTGCTTCATAGCCCACGGGCAGGTCTCTGCCCCATCGACCCCAAAACCCCGAGGCCCACGTTTGAGCAGGCCCCACGTGCCCCTTGTCCTCTGCCCTGTCCCGCTGTGACCGCGGGGTGAAGTTCCCATTGTCCGTTCTCATCCCATGCCATCCTGCGCTGTCGGGGCGAAGCTGCCGCATGCAGGTTTGCGGGAACAGCTCTGCCGAAAACACGAGGCCTCTTGTCTCGCATGCGGAGCACGAGCAGAGTTTGGTGCGGTTTTGGCTGTGCCGGCACCCTGCCAGGCGTGGGGTCTCGGTCTCCCGGTCTCCCCGGCTGCCTGTGCGTGGGGTGGCTGGAGGAGCTGCTGCTCCTCCTCACTGTTTCCCCACTGGTGGGGCTGGTGCCCCACTGGGGGGTGCCAGGGGCTGTATGTGACATCCCTCCCCAATGGCACCCCCTGCCAAGGCCAGTCATGGCCCCCGCCGGAGGCACCGCAGCCCATCGCCACCCCCAGCCAGGCCTCCCACGCTGCCCGCACGCTGCAGGCCCTGCTCACTCAGACCAGACGTGCCGGTGAGGGGCTCTGCGTGTGCTCGGAGGCGCAGGCTGGGAAAGCTGAGCCTTTCCCAGTTGCGCTCCTAAATCACCACAGCATGAATGAGATTAAATTCACCCTTGGGGGATTCCCTGGCTGCAGGGGGTTTACTCCTGGTTGCAGCATCACTGAAATTAAAACTAACTCCCCGCCTGGCCCCCGGAGAGCTGTGCCTTGGAGGTCTTTTTAATGTCATGGCAAGGACAGGGCTGGCAGTCCCCACGGGGATGCTGCCTGCCAGAGCAGACGGAGAGGCACGGCGGGGTGATGTGGGATGTGGGGTTTCCTGCTCGCTCCCTTCTCCCTTACTCCAAACCTGGGAAACATCCCCCTGTGTGGAGGGACAAGCTTCTCATCTTGTCTTTTCCACTTGGTGCTCCTTCCCATCACAGATGCGTGGGGCACTGCAGCCCCCACTGGCTCTCGGCAGCCCCCCAAAAAATTCATCCAGGAGCCCTGGATGATGCCCTGAGCCGCTTGGTCCCATTCGGTGCCCGGCAGGGACGGGCACGTCCCCGCACCTGCACCAGCAGCTCCGTGTGCCTGGCAGTGCCCATGCACAGGCAGGGCATGCTCAGCCAGCGTCCTTCCCGCCGCAAAGGCAGCAGCTGACGCAAGCAGAGATTCAAGGCATCTTTCAGAGCAAAAGAGAGACTTTTTCATCCTGCTGAGCATTGTTTGCCGTCTGGCGCATGCCAGGCAAAACCCTGCCCCATTGCATTTGCCATCTCGGAGCTGGGTGTTCGGCGAGCAGCTTGATTTCACAGTGGGCCTCGTCAGCCGGAGGAAGCAAGACATTAAAGCAGAGCCTTTCCTGCCGTCAGAGCGGGCGGATGCCCCGAGGCCCTCCGGTTTGCAGGTTTGCTCCTCTCCGCCCTCACCTTGCCATGCTTCCATAGAGGTATTTCCTGTTCCCAGGCCACACGTTTTGCTTCGCCTCTGTTTTGCTCAGGTGCTTTAGCTCAAGCATAACTCCAAGTAAGGCTGCTGGATTTTTTTTTTTTTATATCTTAATTTCCTCTTCTTCAGTCCTGCTGCATTTCAGAGACCTGTTTGCAAGTCAGTGCTGTGTTAAGAACCCTTCCAAACGGAGCAGTAACTGTGGGCCCATCACTGAAGACTGATGAATGGACTGAAATGGAGCAAAATTCAGGTTTTTTTGCCCCTCTTAATCTCCAGGGAAGTCAGTTTGGAATAATTAGAGCTAAAGGAAGGGATCAGTAAAATGACCTAAAGCAGCATCTGAGCCAGAAAGTCTCTTGAGAGCTGAGATCAATAGGGAAGGTAATAGCCTTGCTGGAAGGGGCACGGTGTAATGTTAGCACTGGGTAAACACTGCAATAAGAGCCCCGTGTTGCTCAATAACTAACACTTGTTTTCTCCCTGCTGCCCACAAAGACCCAGACTCCTTCCTGAAGTCTGCGCGTCTCCAGCGCCTGCCCTCGTCCTCATCAGAGATGGGAAGCCAGGACGTGTCCCCTCTCCAGGAGACCAGCAAGGACCCTTTTTCTGGAGACTGCAGCTGCCGGCAGGATGGGCTGACTGTCATCATCACCGCCTGCCTGACCTTTGCCACAGGAGTCACGGTGGCCCTGATCATGCAGATCTATTTTGGGGACCCTCAGGTAAGACGAAACAGTGGCTTTGCAGTCGGGCTTTGGCTCCAAAAATAGGAGAAGCTCCCTAACTTTCCTCCTTGCCAGCAGTTTAGCGGGGTAAGTGCTGGTGAGCCCCGGCCAGTGTCAGTGAGACCCTGGGTGCTGAGTCTCTCTCTGCAATTCCACCCCAAATTGTCTTGAAAGCTTTTTCCTGCGGCTGGGGGTTGTGCTCGGAGAGGCGAGCTGGGCTCTCGGCACCTGCCCCGCGGCCGGGGTGTAGATGGCCGTGCCTGGCAGGTTTGGGGGTGCTGCCGGGGGGAAATGGTGTCCCGCTGCTGTGTCTCCAGCTGTGGTTTGAGCCAGATGTGAATGCTTTCAGAAAGCAACCCTTAGTTAAGCAATAGGCATCTTTCGTACATCTCCACTTGGAGAGAGTTTTATGGATCTGTATGCCCAGGCTCACCTCTGGAACAATCTGTCCAGGACCAAGCAGGGGAATAGCTGAAAACAGAGCTGAACCTCCTGCTAATCTGTCCCACAGACCAGTGCTAAATTGCAGAGCAAAGGCAGCATGGCCATGGGGTCATACCTTCCTGCAGAACATCTCCTGCCAAGTACTGCAGCCTGAGAAGGGCCAAGGGGCAGCCAGTGGTCACCATCATCTCCATATGCTGCCCAGCAGGGCAGAGTTGCCTGCAAGTCCATGTGAAAGAGATTTGCTTTTTTTTAATTTATTGTTCTCTCACTGGCATGCAAAACGCAGCCATTGGGAGTGGAGTGGCTTGGCCCCACGGCTGGCTGGCGTGTGGCGCCGGAGGGAGGCTGTGCAATGCAGCCCCTTTCGTGGCACCGCTGGAAGGGCCAGTCCTGCCCGCCAGCCTGCTGTGGCCCTTCTGTCTTCGCACTTCCCAAGGCCACTCTGGCTCACGTTGAGATGCTGCAATCTGTACTGTAGGGTTAAAATGAACCTTTTACAACTTCCCGTGACTGCATTAGCACTGGTGCTGGCACCAGGGAAGGATGAGAACAAGCCGTGGTACTGGGGGGGGATGCTGCATTCTTTGCAGCTGTATTCCTGTTTCCAGTGACCGCATTGCTGCAGTGCAGTGACAGCACGCTGTCGCCCATTGCTCTCGAGGATTAGTCCGACCCTGCTCTGGGGTTGTGGAGGACAGGGTGAGATGTGGCCCACCAGGTTAGCATGTCTGCTGTTGAAAGCCGGCTGAGCTGATGGCCACGGCTACATGCAGAGTGGCCACAGCTGCCCTGGTGCAGGGATGTGCCAAGGGACATATTACTCCCACTGGCATTTGGAGGCACCTGCAAATGCAGATCAGCCACAGCCTTGGCGCTGGCCTCAGGCTTCAGGTCCCACAGAGCTGGGCAAAGATCTGGGCGGCACCAGCACCCCTCCCTGGGCACAACCACTCTCCTCTTCTGGCAGATCTTCCACCGTGGCGCCGTGGTCACGGACGCTGCCCGCTGCACGGCGCTGGGCATAGAGGTGCTCAACAAGCAGGGCTCCTCAGTAGACGCAGCCATCGCCTCGGCCCTCTGTGCGGGAATCGTCAACCCCCACACGTCGGGGATCGGCGGGTAAGTGTTGATCACTCACCCCTGTGCTGTCGTCTGCGGTTGTCCTTAAGCAGGTGGTTTCCCCACCAGCTGAGACGTTCCTTCATAGTAGCCCGAGTCCCAGCACGTGATACCAGGTCTCTGACATCAGGTGGTGGACGTGTCCACATCTGCACAGGGACGGGGACCCTTCCTGTGCACTGAGTTGACAGCAAGGGACAGAGACCCCCAGGGAGGGAAAAGCTGCGTCTGCCATAGTGGCTGCCAGGAAAGTCCAAGCCTCGGGCTCGAGAGGGTTGAAGAGTGACCACAGGCTGCCGAGCCCCTCTGCAAGTGTGCCAGGAGCTTGCAACACCTTGGGCTCTGTCCCAACGCTTTCAGACATTGAGTGCTTCCCTCCATAAGCTCTGCTCCTGCTGCAACAGGAGGCTGAGGTCCGAGCCTGGCTCTGGGCAGCAGCCAGGGGAGGCATGGCGGCGAGGGGTGGCCTCCTCCCAGTCCTCATCCCCAGGGTGGCATCCATGTGAGCCTGGTGCTCTTGGCTCTGCAGGAGGTCTCGGGAGCATTGCATAAAACACCGCCACCTGATAGCTTCTCCAGGCTGCGCCACGGATTGCTGTTGTAAGCAAAAACCCTGTTTTGTTGCAAAACTCCTCGGATTAGAAAGAAAATCCCACATAATCCCAGCCTGGCAGTGGAACAGAGCCAGTGGCCCTCTGGCCAGGCTGGCAGGGACTGATCCAGCCTTGCTGCAGGCTCAGCACAGGGGCTGCCTGCGTCCCGCACTGGCCCTGGCTCGGTTGTCCTGAACTGCTCTCTGGGGAAGGGCAGCAGCAGTCCCCTGCGCCTCTGGCCAGCCCTGGGTCACTGCTGAGGCTGGTGACCTGCTACGATGGCCCCGTCACGCCGGGACTGGCCCCGGCCCCAGTGGCACCCGCACTCTTCATTTTGGCTTTACGGCAGCGGCTGTTGCAGGGACAGCTGGTGCCGTGCCGTAATCCCCGTCTCGCTGCAGGGGTGGGGTGATGCTGATCCACGACATTCGGAAGAACAGGAGCTGGGTGATCGACTTCCGTGAGGTGGCTCCCCTGGGCATCCCACTGGAGGGGGACCTGCAGAAGGGTACCAAGGTGAGGACCAGCGTCCCACAGCCGACCCCTCCAGGGCTGTAGCTGGCTGATGCGTCCAGCTCTCCCTGCAACTCTTGGGCCTGGGGAAGCGACAGGAGGCCTCTCCCATCATGGGAGATCCCGGGCCCTACAGACATGAGGAGTCCAGGGAAAATACTTCTTTGGCAGCCCCAAAATGCCTGGAGCCTGCAGGGCTTGGGGAGTAAAGAGGCATGTCCCTCCGGCAGTGGGGAGCTGCGAGAACAAGAGTCCCAGGAAGGAGCACAATCCCATGTCATTCTGCTGAGTTATTTCTCCTGACCAAACTGAGTTGAGACCAGGATTGAATTTGACTCTTTCCTTCCAAAAACTTTTATTCCCTAATTTAGTGTGTTGCTACAGACCTCCTTCCCCCTCCTAAAGACCATGCAGACACTTCCCATGTGAACATGACTCTCCTTGACTTGCAGTTGGGGACCATGTCTCGTGTCCTCCTGGGAAGAAGACTGCTATTCCTTTTTGTCCTTCCTATTTTACAGCCAGGTCTGCTCGTGGGGGTGCCAGGCATGATACAAGGAATGCACCAGGCGCACCAGTTACATGGGAGGTAAGGCACGAAGCTGGCACAGGTGGGCTGTCCTCATGCTGCGCAGGCTGTGCCCTGGGGTTTCCGCGGGGGTTGCTGGGAGCACACGAGCCCTCGCCATCAGACCACGTTCTCAGCCACCAATCAAAACCATTAGCTAAGGGGTATTTGGAGGCTTGTGTTGAAAAATATGTTCATTTTTTGGTACTTCATTTAACAAAAGAAAGAATTCAGCTTGGTCAGGTTTTCTGCAAAGCGAAATTTTGGCTAACAAGACGGACAATAAATGTTCTCTTAGAAATAGGCACAGGACATTTTAATGCATGTCTGTGTATTTTCATTCTCTCTTTAGCTGGACCCTAAGAAGTGTGGCTGTCCTTGATGCCCTGTTGGGATAGGGAGGGAGGGATCTGAATGACTTGCTCAGGGCTGGGGCCTGGCTTGAGATTTTGCTCCAGAGATGCCCCTTCCCCTGTCCTTGCACTGATATTCCTCTCTGGTGCACGTCGTGGAGCACTGAGATGATCCTGCTAAAACAAAACAACCCACTGAAAGCTCAGTGCTCCTTTTGGCCACCGCTGGCCCCACAGCTTGGTCTTTCAGGAGCCCCCTGACCACAGAGCCGAGCCCTGCGCTTGCTCCCCACCACCCTGCCCTGCTGCACCCCTCCAAGGCACGTTTCTCCTTGTCCTTTCTCCTTTGGCAGACTCCTGTGGTCCGAGCTGCTGGGCCTTGTGGCTGGTGTTGCCCAGGATGGGTTTAATGTCACACACGATTTGGGTGAGTACCTGATGGGGAGGCAAGGGTGGCTGCTTAGCACAGAAGAGCACACTGGCCACTGCGCTCAGGTGCGAGGCAGCTGGGGATGTACGTGGTTATTCATGGGAAATTAAGGCTCTTTGGACCTGGAGATGGATGGTGTTGGGAGCTGAGCAATGCATGAGCCACGGTCTGCAAGGGGAAAGCGTGGTGGCAGCAAAACTGGAGCCCTTCCCCAGCGCTGGTCAGGGACAGGTCAGAGCAGCCCACGCTGAGCAGCCACCCAGGGCCAGCCAGGGAGGGGCACTGGGGTTTCTTTGGGTTTCCTTCCCAGCTCTAATGGATGCATGATCCAGCCTCCCTCTAGTTTTGAAATAGGGCAAGAGGCAACGTCCCCATCAGGCGCACATTGACTCCAGGTCCCCTGCGCGTTCCTGCACCCTGGCTTTTCTGGATGTTCTTCCCCTTCTCGCCCACAGCCAAAGCCATAAGTGAACTGAAGGACCTGAACTACTCTGACAAATTTCGGGAGATCTTCCTGCCGGACGGCCAGCCCTTGCTGCCTGGCATGCTCGTCAGGCGCCTGGACCTTGCGGCCGTCCTGGAGCTGGTGGGGGCAGAAGGGGTGTCAGCTTTCTACAGCGGAAACTTGACCCAGGAGATGATCTCTGAGGTGAGCCGTGTCTGTCCCTGTCTCTGCCCCAGACCACACGGCACAGCCTGGGCGGGGGTGCCACCTGCCATGTCACCTGCTTAAGGTGACAACCTGGAGATAAGCCATAGCCAAGTGTCAGCACAATGATGGGGACAAATGCGTGGAGCCTTCTTTTCCTTTCCTGTCCCTGTCACTGCAGTGGTGTAGGTGACACACAGGTCACTTCCACAGCCTACAGCAGTGAAACCTCCATTTCCTTTATAACCAGGACAGACTGTTTTTTCAAAGGAAAAAAAATCCCAATTTCAAGACCCGTTCTGGGTGTTAGTATTAGTGACAACCCCCTTTTCCCCATAACGAGAGCAGCCCCACTGTTGAGAAGCAAATTTTTGTTGTTAATGGGACTGTACAATATAGACTCCAGGAAGGTGGTTTAAAAATAAAACTGTGAGCCTTGTGAGCAGAGGATCAGACAGGTTTGGTCCCACTTAAGGTTGCCCTAGTTTAACTCCTGTTGTTAGAGGTGCTCTGGAAAAAATAGCAACAACAAACAAAGTAATTATTCTGGTAAAAAAAAACCAAACAACTTTTATACCTGTGTAGCTGCAGTCCGGGTGGTTAGTGACACCATTTTTCCCTACCACCGTGGCTCAAGTGATGCACCTTCAACATGTCATCAGTAATCTGGAATGGGTTCATTCAGCTCAAGCCTTAGGCATTTGTGAATTCTGTGTTTGGGAATCTTCTACGGTTCACCTGGACCACAGCAGTGGTGGAGAACGAGGAACAGGAAAAGTCCCAAGCTCATGGTGCACCTCCACAGCTAAACCCTGCTTTATCACCCCATTCCCCTGACGAAGTGTGGCTGTCCTTGATGCCCTGTTGGGATAGGGAGGGAGGGATCTGAATGACTTGCTCAGGGCTGGGGCCTGGCTTGAGATTTTGCTCCAGAGATGCCCCTTCCCCTGTCCTTGCACTGATATTCCTCTCTGGTGCACGTCGTGGAGCACTGAGATGATCCTGCTAAAACAAAACAACCCACTGAAAGCTCAGTGCTCCTTTTGGCCACCGCTGGCCCCACAGTTTGGTCTTTCAGGAGCCCCCGGACCGCAGAGCCGAGCCCTGCGCTTGCTCCCCACCACCCTGCCCTGCTGCACCCCTCCAAGGCACGTTTCTCCTTGTCCTTTCTCCTTTGGCAGACTCCTGTGGTCCGAGCTGCTGGGCCTTGTGGCTGGTGTTGCCCAGGATGGGTTTAATGTCACACACGATTTGGGTGAGTACCTGATGGGGAGGCAAGGGTGGCTGCTTAGCACAGAGGAGCACACTGGCCACTGTGCTCGGGTGCGAGGCAGCTGGGGATGTACGTGGTTATTCATGGGAAATTAAGGCTCTTTGGACCTGGAGATGGATGGTGTTGGGAGCTGAGCAATGCATGAGCCACGGTCTGCAAGGGGAAAGCGTGGTGGCAGCAAAACTGGAGCCCTTCCCCAGCGCTGGTCAGGGACAGGTCAGAGCAGCCCACGCTGAGCAGCCACCCAGGGCCAGCCAGGGAGGGGCACTGGGGTTTCTTTGGGTTTCCTTCCCAGCTCTAATGGATGCATGATCCAGCCTCCCTCTAGTTTTGAAATAGGGCAAGAGGCAACGTCCCCATCAGGCGCACATTGACTCCAGGTCCCCTGCGCGTTCCTGCACCCTGGCTTTTCTGGATGTCCTTCCCCTTCTCGCCCACAGCCAAAGCCATAAGTGAACTGAAGGACCTGAACTACTCTGACAAATTTCGGGAGATCTTCCTGCCGGACGGCCAGCCCTTGCTGCCTGGCATGCTCGTCAGGCGCCTGGACCTCGCGGCCGTCCTGGAGCTGGTGGGGGCAGAAGGGGTGTCAGCTTTCTACAGCGGAAACTTGACCCAGGAGATGATCTCTGAGGTGAGCCGTGTCTGTCCCTGTCTCTGCCCCAGACCACACGGCACAGCCTGGGCGGGGGTGCCACCTGCCATGTCACCTGCTTAAGGTGACAACCTGGAGATAAGCCATAGCCAAGTGTCAGCACAATGATGGGGACAAATGCGTGGAGCCTTCTTTTCCTTTCCTGTCCCTGTCACTGCAGTGGTGTAGGTGACACACAGGTCACTTCCACAGCCTACAGCAGTGAAACCTCCATTTCCTTTATAACCAGGACAGACTGTTTTTTCAAAGGAAAAAAAATCCCAATTTCAAGACCCGTTCTGGGTGTTAGTATTAGTGACAACCCCCTTTTCCCCATAACGAGAGCAGCCCCACTGTTGAGAAGCAAATTTTTGTTGTTAATGGGACTGTACAATATAGACTCCAGGAAGGTGGTTTAAAAATAAAACTGTGAGCCTTGTGAGCAGAGGATCAGACAGGTTTGGTCCCACTTAAGGTTGCCCTAGTTTAACTCCTGTTGTTAGAGGTGCTCTGGAAAAAATAGCAACAACAAACAAAGTAATTATTCTGGTAAAAAAAAACCAAACAACTTTTATACCTGTGTAGCTGCAGTCCGGGTGGTTAGTGACACCATTTTTCCCTACCACCGTGGCTCAAGTGATGCACCTTCAACATGTCATCAGTAATCTGGAATGGGTTCATTCAGCTCAAGCCTTAGGCATTTGTGAATTCTGTGTTTGGGAATCTTCTCCTACGGTTCACCTGAACCATAGCAGTGGTGGAGAACGAGGAACAGGAAAAGTCCCAAGCTCATGGTGCACCTCCACAGCTAAACCCTGCTTTATCACCCCATTCCCCTGACCTGAGGGCTGCTGCAGGGAAGCATAAACTCTCTATGGAGGAGCAAGGCCCAGGGTTGCAACACCAAAGACCCTGGCAAGCTCTGGGGTCAAGCGCGCAATTCCAGCTTTGGTTGCAGAGCAGAGCAAAGTGCTGGCTTCCCACAGTGTTTATTGTTCCAGCAAAGGGAGGGCATTAGTGTGGTGAAATCAAGTAAAGCTCCAAAACACCCTACCCTTTGTTACCATCCTGTGGCGGGAAGGCACAGGTGCAAAAAAGTATTCTCTGGGGAATTTGAGATGGTGTCTGCAGTGTGGGGGGGACCACGGCTTCTCCCCTTTCTGTGCCATCAGGCTCCTCCTGCCCCACTCCCCGCTGCTCTGCCTGGGCTTTCCGCTGGCCGAGCTCCAGGGAGCCAGCTTCTGGCACAGGCACCTGCCTGCTCATCTCAGCCATTGGGTTCAACCTGGGACTGCTTTGGGAAGGGGGCAGGGATCCCAAGTAGGGGATACATCTTCTTTTGCAGCTTTGGGGTGGTTTGACATGCCCCCCACAACGTGCCCTGCTTTAGCTTTCCTGCTCCAGTGATTCATCCATTTCTGCCAGAGAAAGAGTTTTCTTGCCAAGTTAGCTGGCTAGTTTAGAAATCAGAGCATGCACAGGTTATTTCTTCTTGCCCGTTTTCGGATGGGAATCCAGGGACTCATAGCAGCAACTCACCCCAGCAGAACCTCTCACCAGGTTGTGTGGCTTCTCCTGGGTGGAAGGAAAGAGTTGGCCCATGAGCTCAGTAGCACCTGTACACTGACTGAGAGTATTACCTACTTCAGGGGATTTTAAGATCAGCAGAGTGCAGTTATGATGGTCCTGCCTCATCTCCATCATGACTCAACCACAGAAGACCTGCAGTGGAGGGAATTACCCATCTTTACTATGTTCATGAAAATTACCAAGCCCAGTAAATTGTACCTCTAGGAGAGTCTTACAGAAAGACCAAGGGTACAGCAGATCACTATCACCTGAAATAATTAAAATAGGTCAGGAATTGTATGCTAAAGATTTCTAGTGATGGTGACCTGATACACCCAGGTTCCTTCTCTCCTGGATCCATATATATCTTTTAGCCTGGCAGTATTCAAATGCTTCATAACCTTTAACATACTCATGCTTGTCGCCCAGGGGAGAGAAGGCTGCGAGGCGGTGCCAGTGCCAGTCCCCATCCCCATGGGTAGGCAGAATGTCTTCAGAGCACCCATGGGGTGGGTTAGCTTTTGGAGGTGAGCTGCAGAGCCTTCCAGCGGTGGTGAATGGTGAGCCAGGCCACCAAGGCCATGAAAGCACAGATTTTCAGGGTATCCTGAGGAACCTGGCACTTGGCTTGGGAATCTCAATGGTATTTGTTTGACAGTGTGGTGTGTGTTCACCTGGGCCAGCACAAGGAACACAGAAAGCCTTGACCCAGCTTTCTCAGTATGCGCTGCTTTGCTCTCCTACGCAGGTCCACAACTACGGAGGAGTCTTGGTGGAGGAAGACTTCAGCAATTACAGTGTCACAGTGGAGAATCCCGTCCACACAGTCTACCGAGGTGAACGCCTGACCCATTGCCATGCAACTCCAGTCAAAAGTTTGCTTCACCTGGCAAGAGGTGGCGACAGTATTTAACAAGAGTTGAAGTCAAAGCTGTGCTGAGGTGTCTGCAGAAGAGCCCTCCAGGGAGTTTCCTGTTATTGCCTACTGACACTGATGCATCGTAGGCAATTCAGGAGATTTTCAGCACTTTGAAATGGGCCTTTTTTTTCCTTGATAGTGACCAATGGTATTTTGATAGTGTTAGGGTGTAAAGATGCAACGTGATCACATATTGATGCAATGTCTAGATAGAAGCTGGACCGTAGGCTGGTGCCAACATCTGAAGACAGTTCCCAAAGTTGATCTACAAGGGAGAAAAACTTAGTTTATGCAAAAAGTTTCTAAAATGTCATTCTTTTCCAGAAATCCCTGTATTTACTCTCCTTATAGCTGTAATGTTGCAAACCCATTTTATCTCTGTTATTCCGTACTGCAGTCCAGAAACCAACCAGCCTACCAACAAGAACTGAATTTCAGATGTAAAAAAAAGCATCCCTATTTGGGCTTCCTTTATCCATCATAAAGAAACAGAAAGATACAACAGGAATGTTTTGGGAAATCCTTTTCAAATCATGTTGCTTTCCATTATTTCTCCTTAAATCTGGAAAGGTTTCCCTGTCCTCAAGGACACTAGCTTATGGGAAAGTATTATAACTGGACAGTATCTGACAAAAGCAGCTTCATTCCTCTCTTCTTCCCTTCACAGGTCATCTTGTTTTCAGTCCCCCACCTCCACATGCAGGTCCTGCACTGATCACAGCACTGAACATCCTTGAGGGCTTTAACATCACAAGTCAAGTATCCAGGGGGAATATCTTGCACTGGATGGCAGAGGTAAGAGGAGGTTCAACATTTGGCTGAATTTCTTGAGCTGCTAGAGAATAATTTATTTATTCCTTGGTTGTACAAAAATGTTTGTAGGTAATTCCCAGAGGAGAATGAGCAAATAGACTGCTAAGGTGTAAATCTGAGCTGTGCTGCTGCCTCAGGTAGGTGCAGATCCTGGAGCCTCTTGCTTAGGCAGAGCTTTTTCAGAAGAACAAACTGTGGCTTTTGCCCATTTCTTGTATGCGATCATCTCTTCAGAATGACCCCACAAGCAGCTGGTGGTGGTCCCATCTATTTCCTCCACCTCTTATGCTCCAGTGGCCCTGGCCGTACCAGAGCACTGCTAGGGCACTGCAAGGAGAGTCAGCAATGTCATGCTGTAAGCAAAAACCTACATGCGGCGATGACAAGGAAAACTGACCCAACACTATGGTTTTTTTAAATCTTTACATTTTAGCCCACCTCATGATCTCAGTGGTCCAGATCATGATTTTTCCAGTATTTAGGGCTGTCAGCCCTACCAAAACATTGCAGCTTCCCAGGAAGTCAAGCAAGTGCTCAGTTTCCTGCTCTGTAAGCAGAGTTATGTTCTTAGATGTTTAACAGATCCACAGCCAGGCTTTACGAGTTGGGACTTTTAAGCAAGGGTGTAACCACATCCTTGTAGCAGGCAGGACAGTGGGTGCTTGGCAGTTATTGCCTCTCAGCAAAAATGCAACAAACGGAGGTGTTACACACTGCTAGGCCTGTGCAGAGGCAGAGAAGGTTGACTCACCTAAGCTATTTTTGAGCTCTCTTCAGGAAGCCTTGGATGAATCTATTTGCTCTGCATTTGCACCAGGCCAAGAGTTTCACCCATTGGTTATCATGTCCCAGCTGAGGAACAGCAACCTCCAGATAAAGGGCAGTCACTTCAGAAGACGTGTAACCCTGATTATTGGGATCACATGGCTGAACACATGGCTGAGATTCAGTGCTAGGTCAGCACCAGATAGTCCAGCCCTGAGACAGCCATGACCAAGATGTCCTTAACCTGTGCCTGTGGGGTGGACGTGATCTGCTTGTTTCAGTGGAGCTCTTCCTTGGCCACCAAGCCTCTTGTACATCCTCCGTATGGTATGGTGGTCAGGAGACTAATGGAAACGCCACCTTCTCCACAAGTTAATCATGTTCTACACTGTACATCAGAAGATAAATGGTGACACTTCAGGAGAAGTTGTTGATGCGTGGCACGTATCAAAACAGAAGTCACATCTAGCTATCTACCTGCAGGGTAATGTACTGTCTTGAATCTTGAATGAAAATGGCATGACCTGCAAGCTGAAAGTCTAGTGCATTTCTGCTAGGCACAAGCTGGCTTGATTGAAGAGCCCATTTCTCCTTGTGGCTGCCCTCTGGCTATGCACTGTAAAACCAGGGCTGGATAAACTGTGTCTTTTGAAATTTCATCTTCCCATTTTTAATGGACTGGCTTAGGCAGGATTCTGCATGTATGAGAAACCAGATCCCTTCCTCTTTTTACACCATCATTCCCTTAAGTGTGCTGGGACTAACGCTTTCTGTTCAAACACTTTGGATGACTTACAACTAGGAACATGGGTAGCAGCTGGTGAGCAGAATAGCTCATTTCTGTTCAGCAGTGGTGCTGTGCCAGTGGAGCTGCCGACCAGAGGCAACGGCGAGCCTGGGACCCACTGTCCCACTGGCATTCAGTGTGATCTCTGCTGTTGTGGTGACCACTCAGGAATGGAAATATAAAGTAAGTGGCATCCTGGTGACCCTGTCTGCCAGCTGGCAATGCAGCTGAACCACTGAGCCGGGCTGAGCCAGCTGGTCGGCTCCTGCCAGACATGTTCCACCTTGTACAAACACTGCTGGATGCGCTCAGCTCCCCCAGCACACAGTTTGCCATGCCAAACTGGTGCCCTTTGGTGTGTGGCAGCACTTTGCACTGAGGTATTCCCAGGACCAGGCTTTTAGACATTTTTCTTCATAGGCTTTAGCCAACATGCCAGGAGACCAAGTACCTCTTCCTGTTTAGAGTATCAAAAGTTGTATTTCCAGAGCCACCTAAATGTTTTTCTTTCTTTCTTTCTTTGTGTGTTCAATTTAGACATTAAAAATAGCCCTGAGTCTAGCTAGCAGCCTGGGAGACCCATCTGATGATGTGTCCATCACTCACGCTGCAGAAGGCATGGTGAGGTAGGTCTGAGGCTGACAGGCACGGTGACAGTTGCAAGATGTGTGGTTTGGATATCATTCCTGGATTCGCTCTTTTCAGTGCACAGGGAAACCTGAGGTTTTTCTACCTCTGTTTTACTGAGGAAAGTTCAGTCCTTGAGCGTCCTCCTAGGGCTCACTCTTCCACAAGGATCACGGCTGATACCACGGGGCTCTGGGGATGGCTCATGGGATGTCCTCACACAGAGGTTTCCTGGAGCCAGCTTGATCTTGAGGGTTCCTCCCTCTTTCTCACCCCTCTAAAAATTCCTTCTCAGCACGTTGGACAAATGGCCATCCACGTGGTCATGGCCACACATGCAGTTTCTGACTCTCCCTTCCCCACCGTGGGGCTCAGTGCCTTTGTGGTACACCCAGATGCGCGGGAGAGGCCAGGCCTGGGGTTTCAGCCCAGCCTTCCACCTCAGAGCCAGGTTTAGCCATGGTTGGTGGCCAGAGCTGGACCTGACTTGCCCTCCTCCTGGAGGACTGGCATTCAGCCGTGTGGTGCCACCCCTCGTCCATTGGGGGTGAGTTTACCACTGTAGACAGAGCCTGGGAGGTCCATGGTGTCGCCCCTCTGTGCAGACTGAGCCGTCTTGTCTCCTTCCATCAGGTGAACCAAAGGAGCTCCCGGTCCTCAGTGCCATCCCCCTCAGGGAGACACTGCCAGTAGCTGTGTAGATGTACCCCCACAGAGAGACCAAGAGATGTTCAGCTTCCTAGACTCATGGCTTTCTTTCCTCTTTCCCTCCCTCATTGCTGAAGTAAATCAGAAGCTAATTCCCTGCGCCAGCTGATTAATGACTCCCAGTCCTTCTCATCTGATCTCCGCATGCCTCACTTCTCCGTGGAGAGCGGACCTGCTGCTAGCCAGGTCCTTGTCATGGGACCCGATGACTTCATTGTTGCGGTTGTAAGGTAAAGGATTTCCTTCTTCCCTCCATAATGTACTCAGAGGGTGGGAGCAGGGCGAAGAAAGCAGGTTCAACAGGACAGGATGGGACCAGACCTGGGGCAGCTGAGCTGCTCTGTCCCAGGTAGTCCTGCAACAGGAGAAATGGGGAAGACGGGGTGGAGATGTGTGAGCTGGTGCTGCTCTGCCCTGTGCAATCCTACAGCCCTCTCGCAGTGAAACATGTCTGGATTGGCCTGAATCTGCTCCATGGAGAAGAGGCAATGGCCAAATTTGAGGTCTGATGGGGGCATGGAGACAGATCCATCACCTAGAGGTGAATCCTTAAACACAGGGAGGGACAGAGCTGCTATTGCCCACATGGCTCCTGCTTCTAAGTACATGGAGACTTTCACTCCTCACATCTAACCAGCCCTAAAGAACTACCGAAGAGTCTCTATCAAGCCCAGATGGGACAGAAAATTGGAGTCCCGAAAGCCTCGAGGTGTACAAAAGTCTCTGGGAGGATTTTTATGAGATTTTGTGTTTCTTTTCAGTTCTTTGAATCGTCCCTTTGGCAGTGGAATAATAACACCCTCTGGAGTCCTCCTGAACAGCCAGATGTTGGACTTCTCCTGGCAAAATAAAACAATGAACCACTCCATTCCCAGGCCGGTAATGAATGACATGACAAATTCTTTATTTGAGCTGTCCGTACCATTTTTTTCAATTTTATTCTCATCTCCACAACAGGGAGGCTATTTAATGCCTTATTAATAACTGAGAGACAACAGTCTGTAGAAAGATCCTATTTTTTCATTATATGAGCCGCTGAAACAGAGTAAACAGAAGGCTTCATGTGTATCAGTTATCATTATAATGCAGTTTTATCAAACAACGCTGCACATCTCAGCTACTGATTTTCCCTGCAGTCCAGATGCACTTTAAAGCAAACATCCTTTTCTGTGGACTTGAATTAAGGACTCTCTGTAAACCCACAGAGCAGCAATTCATAAAAGTAACAGATAGCAGGAAAAAAATCTTCGGGTCTTGGAAAGAAACAATTACAGACCAGTACCGGTGGCTGCCAGTGCTGCCTTGTTGTTTCTTCTTTCCATGTATTTAAAACCATCCCACTTTGCTGGGTTGGTACTTTAGAAGTGGGTGAATGGCTCGTATACCTTCTGTAAAAGAGAGCCACGGCATGAACGGGACAGATCCTGTTAACATCAGAGAGCATTATCACAGCAGTGAGGATGTCAGCCTTGTAAAACTACACAAGTGCAATTGCTGGCTGAAGCATAAAGAGTAAGAAGTTAACCTGCACAATTTGAGCACCAGCAAAGCTTTAGTTGGCTTGTTGAAATTTTTTGGTGTGTCTTTTCTTCAACTGCAGCAAAATCTCATTCAGCCTCGGAAACGGCCCCTGTCTTTCCTGTTGCCCACCATCGTGAGACCGTCCGAGGGGATGTGCGGGACGTACCTATGTCTGGGAGCTAACAACGGGGACAAAGCCTTGAGCAGCATCGTTCAGGTCAGGGCTGTGTCTGGGCACCCACCCTCTCAGAGCAGCTGTTGAGCTCAACGCTGAGTAGGGTCCCCTCCTGCAGTACAGGCTTTCCCTTCCTAATGTCCCAGGCTGTGTTGAAACTGGTGGCCGCAGGATTACAAGTTCAGTCTTTGATGTCACCAGTTCCACACATTTGGTTTTTTCAAATCTCTAAGAGCTACCGGTTTACTTCTCTTGGACCTTTCCTGGTGGCACCACTCATAATTGTAGAGGAAAAGCACCTTGGCAAAATCTGTAATGGTTTTGCGTCATTCTAATACCTGTTCAAAGCTCATCTTCAGGATCATTAGGAAAAAAAAAGAGCATTTTGTATTCAGAGAATTGCAGGAGACTGGCGGGCTCCTTTTAGTGCATTCCCAACTGATTTCCTCCCTGCTCAGCACTTGCTATAAATTGGGCAGCTTCTCCTAATTTATGATTTGTAATGAGGTGAAGTACTTGCCAATAGCTTGATTGCATGCACAACAGCAATGGATTGCTAAAAAGAAAGGCACAACAAGAATGGCTCCCATTTTCCTTACCTTTTGGAAGGCATTATTCAGAGCAAAACTAAAGCCAACCATTGCTTCCTAATGCTTTGTTTGGAGAAGTCACGTGCTGAGCTCTTGGCTGAAACAAACATGTATTTAGAGATTACATCACGTTCCAGACACACAACTCTCCTAATTTAGCAGGAACTATGTGACAAAAAGCCCATGCAATCCTGAAAAGGTACCGCTTTTCCACCAATGATATACAGGCCATATTTCAAGGGCCTCTTCATACGTGCAAAACCCTGCGTTAGTTCATGCAGTTTGGTAAACGGTTCAAAATCTTCTTTGCCTGCTGCATCTTGCAGATGTTGGAGCCACCAATTAGGGGGATGCTCGGGAAGTTGGCTTCTCCTGTTCTCATTACTTTTTTAATTATTGAGGATCTTTTATTCTCTTGCAGGTTTTGGTAAATGTTTTGACATTTAACAAGAATCTGAGTGAAAGTTTGTCACTTGGTCGACTTCACCCACAGCTTCAGTCCAACACCTTGCAAGTTGACAGTGAGTATGGACACGGGGTGTGGTGCAGCCTAAATCTAGTGTGTTTAGAAAAGGAGCAGGATTTTCTTAGCACACTGCTGTGGAAGTGTGACAGCCCAGCGCACAGCTCACCGTGCTCTAAGGTCCCCCGTGGGTGCGGAGGGTTTTGGGGAAGACGGAAAGCAACCTAGCTTCTTCAAAGCTTGGAGCCCTTGCTGAGCCATGCCCTCTCCCTCTCATCTTGGGAATGCTCCCTGGCCCCTCCAACACCACCTGTCCAAACTCTTTCAGGTGCTTCTCCCCAACCCTCCCTCTGTCCCAGCTCACCTCCTGGTAGCAGCCTTGTCCTGTCCTTAAAACCTTTTGGCGATCTGATGCCACTGAGGATATCCAAATAAACAAGACTGCAACCACAGCTTCACCCAGACAGGTCCTGAAAGCTAGCAGATCTTCCTACACTTTATTACCACTGCCATAAATGATACTTTTTCGCTTTCCAGTCCATGTCTCTTAACTCCACCAGCTGGGGAGAAGACAAGGCTTATGGCAAGGCTTGTAGCTTGACAGTGCTGGAAATGCAGCATCAATGCTGACGCTCTGGAGACTGTACTGCCAGCTCTTGTCCTTGTTATTACAAGTCTTGGTCTATTTGGTGTTTTTCACAAAGCCCCATACCTTACCAGAGTGAACCATAAGTGAAATTTCGTTCTCATTTCACACAAAATAGCCAAAGTTTCTAGGCCTTCCCATTTCAGAGGAAAATCTAAAAATGTCTGTTGAGTGTGACCTGCAGACTTGGAAACTAGAATGTAATTAAAACAAATCCAGAACTTCAAAAGGTCCTAATTTGTGGGTTTGGACATTTGGCATCAACAAGATATATGTTCAGACACATCTGCAATGTATATAGCTTAAATAACTGTGGGGTTTCTGTGTGCCTGCTCGGTTTGTTCAGCTGCATCCCCAGCTTCGTATCTTCAGGCACTTCTGTTCATACAGAAATTACAAAACATCAAATAAACAAAATAAAAGCAGAAGAGCAAGCAACCTAAGGTAGATGGCTGGAAGATTAAGAAATACGTGAAGGGGAAGTTGGAAGGCTTATCACAAAGTTTGTCACTTGGCAACTTGTTTTACTATCATTTGTTTTGAGCTGCCTTGCATCTTATTTTGACTAATAACTGTTCATACTGTTATTTGTAACTAAGCTCTTAAGAGCAGGGACTGCCTCGTGTTCTGTAAGAAGAATAACTACAGTAGGTGCCAACAACGTATTTTCCCCTTTTTCCAAAGAGGAGTATCTTCCATGTCTTTAAATGGTCTTCTGGATCCTCTCATTTCCCCCACTGCACAGAGCACTGCCCAGCTCTGAACAGCCTCTGCTGCTGAGCGCTGAAAGACTGCTCCTCGGAGCGGTGAGTGCTGGTCCTCCTCATCCGCTTGGCTTGCCCTAGCTGGGACACCTTCTGAAGAGGCTGCAGGCAGTTTCCTTCACACTGCAGATCCCAACAGGGTTAGAACAGAGCTTTGCATCAGAGGCAACAGTAGTTTCAGTTACAAACTCCTCTTTTAAAATCCCTACAGGTGAATTTCCTGAAGAAGATATTGAATTTCTTGTAGCCGGGGGCCATCAAGTGGATAAAGTCAAAGTGGTCTCCCTAGTTCACGGGGCCAGGAGGACCAACAGTTTAATCATTGGCCTGAAGGACCCCAGGAGCGTGGATGCTGCCGGAGCCACAATATTGTAGCACCTCCCAGATGATGTGTTCACTGAACAAGGCTTAGACAAATCAACCCAAGTGACGTGCGTGTTCTGAAATGGCCCCTTCTCCATCCCCAGAGCAGGAGCCCCGCATACACACTGCTGAGGAGACTTTCCGCATTCCCCACCCAGGATGACACCAGAGGGGTTAGCAGCACCAACATACAGCACTCTGGGTTTTTTTTCTTTTATTTTTAAATTATTTGAATAGCAAGCAGCCCGGTCCTTGTTACAGGAGTGCAGGGAGCACACTTTTCTTTTGGCAGAGTCTTGCCAAATAATTTCAGTCTTTTCAAAAGCCCAATTATAGCTGGCATCTTAATTTTAGTGAGCAGGAACATTAGCAAAGGAAAAAACAGCTGATGATGATACTGTCATCTTCATCTCCCTGTCTTTCCCAAGTTCATTCTTTGCCTCTTGTGTAAGCCAATAATTAATACAGCCTAATGTAGTGTTTGCAGGTGCCTGTAGCTGGAATACTGGGGAGTCCTTTAATACTCCGTATGGGCCAGCTGATTTTTACCAGCGTGCAGCCTCCTGTGTTAGTTCCTTTTCTCGCATCGCTACATACCTTAAATTTCAGGAGTAAATATTTTGAATCAAGTCGCTGCGCAGGCTCACTGGCAGTCTGATTTTGTAACCGGAGCAATGGTTTTCAGCTTCTAACAACTTCTGGACCCCCAATAGTTCTTACAGAGGTTCAGCCTCCTCCATGGTGAATTTAAGCTTAGTGGTAATGGGCTTAATTTTCTTAGATACTTTTTGGAGATATCTTAGCAGTACTCCACAGACTTGTAAAAATCCGCAGACCATGGACTGAAAACCACATGGAGAGCGTTTAGGTAGGTTCAGGGCTTTCCTTACACTGCCTTATCTGTCTGCTCTGAAAGCCTGAATCGTGTAATCCCTACAGAGAGGCTTGGGATTTCCTGCTTACTGAACTCATGCCCGTACTTCAGCTCCGTATTTTGATATTAGTGGCTCTATTGGAAAAGCTGAAGAGGGTGAGAGAGAAGGCACAAAACAAACCAAACACTACTGAGGGAATCTTCTGTCTGCAGCACGTAGTGCAAAGTATAAGAATATTTCTGCATTTCTTGTCTGAAATAGAGTGAAGAAATAATACCACATCTGACAGCTGCACCACTTCATTCAACCCACATTTGGACATTTCCTTCTCTTTTTACTAGCAAGTTAGACCGAGGCACCTGGCACTAAAAAATTCTGGAATTTGATCATTTTCTGTGGTCTAAAATGTGATGATTTCCTTCATGGTGCAAATGCATCTATGGCCACTGTACATATTATATATGTATGTCTGCTTATGGTTGTCTTGGTCTTTCATTTGATGATTACCCCAGTCACCCCCAACCCTCCTGAGGGACCCTGTAACACCCATCTGTTTGTAACGCACCTTCTCACACTCGTTGCCATTTGAGACGGGGAGCGTGCGGGTCGTTCTGGGGCGGTCAGGGTGCTACGGCAGATAATCGGACTAATCGCTCCTGCCACCTGCCAGCTGAGGATCTCAGAGCATCTTACGTGAAGCCTTGCACGTTGCACCGAGGAAGGACAGAGATACTTTTATGCTCCGCTGAAGCGCAGCCACCCATGAGAAGAGCACGACAGCTGCCTAGCAGACGGGAACATCAATGGTATTTTCTGTTACAAATGCGTCAGTGGCCTCAGCTGAGAGACGGGGGAAGTACAACGTTGTCTTTGGGAAGTTGTCTTCTGTGCCACCACACTGCCCACAGGGCAAGAAGAGACTTTCTTCGCCACAGGGGCATCAAATCTATTTATTTATTTTTTTGTTATCAGCACTAGAGTTGGTCACTGCCCGAAGTCGGAGCATTTATAAAACTTTACGTGTCTTAGAGCAGACTTCTTCAGGTTTCACGGGAAGGGAAGGATGCAGTTTTGTGCGTTGAATCTCACTGGTGGAAATTTGGGGTTTTCTGGTACAGTACAGCAGTGATCTATCCCTCGGGCATGGAGGTTTACTGTGCACAGCTGCAAAATAAGTGGTCAAGTCATCGTTGCTTCAGTACTTTGCATGGAATATCACAAAACACTTTGAAAGATAAAATTCCTCCTTGTTAACTGAATTCACCAACTCACTTCTGATGCTGGAAACTGTGTATTCATTTGGGAGTTAAAGACTCTGGTCTTGATTCAAAAGGGCACTTACACGCCCCAAGGTACAATTTCACAGCAGTTATTCAGAATCTTAAAATAAAGCATGTTCCTAAGTGCTCTGCTGGATCATGGCCTATGTTGCAAAAAAGAGAAAATTTAAAATAATTGGAAGATGGGACTTAGGCCCCTAGGTTATGGCTAAGAGAAGTAAAAGTATTTTGAATTATTTCCCATTTTCTCTGTTTAAAAATGGCATCAGTATAGCACAGATGTATTCGATATGGAAACCTTTAATCTGCTAATTGGCCCAGTGTCTCCGATACTTTGAGTCCATCTGTTGTGATGAGATCTGATGAATTTAATGTGAGGTACCAAGAAATACCCGATGTTTCCTTCTGTACAGGTGAGATAGACATTGTGAAATAAAGGGCCGTATTCTGGAGATGTGTGTGTGCAGAGTAACTGCATTGATTTCAACCCAGCTATTGCAGACGTCTAACAGCTCTGAAGCAGAATTTGTCCTGAAACTTTTGCATGAAAGTGTCAGTGAGGAGCTCAGAACACAAAATACAAAATATAAAGTGGCTGAGAAAAACAATGAAGAAAATTTTTAAAGGAACAAAATAAACCCAAACAAAATAAAGAAAAGAAAAAAAAGATGCCTTTGCCAAATATGACTATTATGATCTGGTACGTGATCAGCTTGTCTCTGCCCACATTTGCATTGCTCTCCGTCAACGTATACTGGCTTTTACATCGGGATAAGCTGGAGACAAGCTCTGCCGCTAAGTGTTACCTCAATTTATCAGTATTCCTCACAAAGGCTCGATGACGTTCATGAGCACAGATAACAAGCAGTGCTTCGCTAGCTTTAGATACCGCTGTTCACCTGTATGCATCGAGCACTGATCGCTGCATATAGAAGCTTAAAGGGGGGACGAGGCGGAAGTCAGCGCTGCCATCCTGCAGCAGGGGGGACGAGGATGCTCCAGCCCCTCGGCCATGCCGTTTTGTTCCATCACTGTCCCGTGCCCAGACACTGAGAGGGGCTGGAGCCTGCCTTGCTCCCACCGGTCTGGACGGGGGCAGATGCTGCTGGGGTTGTCGGGGTGGTTAGAGCCACGCTGCCGGTGTGGCTTGGGGCAGCGCCCGGCACAGGTGCAGGAAGGGCCGGGGATCCCCTGCTGCCCCTGGGCGTGGGCGTGAGACCAGCCCAAGAGTGGCCCTGGGCACACCGGGTGTTTCTGCACTCCAGCAAGCACCTCCGGCAGCGTGCCTCCCTCCGTGCCTCGGGGGACCGGGGACTGCCAGGCACAGGTGAGGGCAGAGAGCAGCTGGTGTCACCATAACCGGGACAGCAGGCTCAGGTCCCCAGTCTCTGGGGATGATGACTGGTGTCCTACAGCTCTGCTGCAGCTCTGCCAGTGTCTCTCTGAGGGGTCCCTCAGCTGGGGCGGCGAGTCCAAAAGCGCTTGTTCAGCGTCAGCCGGTCGGCTGGCTGCCAGGGGGGAGCTGGACCCTCCAGGTGGCTGCTGGGTCCCTCTGGACCATCTCAGAGCCTCCTTCCACCTGCTGCACAACTCGACAGGCTTCCATGGACTGATCCCGGACACTGACTTGTTGGAGAGGAAGGGGGGCTGGGCGTCGGTAAACACCATGAGATGAAACCTGCATCTCTTTCATGAACACATCAAAAACACCGAAGATTTTGTAAGGTTTTGCTAAGAATCAGGTGGAGCGGGAAGAGCCCCTGTAGCACCCAGGTATTTTCATCACAGCGGTTTTGGAAAGATCTTCCATACTTCAGTGATGGACATCTGCACGCTAGCCAGGGAATGAAGAGCTCTGAGAGGCAGAGCACTATCTAAAAATGAAACACATTGTGCGGAGGGCAGAAGAGCCTATGGAGTAGGAGCACTCGAGCACTGAAACACGCTGCCCAAGAAGGGCCCTCCAGTGGCCACAGCATTTTTAGATGCAGATTGTCCTCGCAGAGCTGACCCTGCTGCCTGGGGGCAATATCCCGTTTGACAAGAACTGCTTGGCAGCCGTGACCCTTCATCCACCAGGACTGCCCCCAGCACGGCCGGGGCTCCCCACCCAGCGACTCTCACCCTTCCATCTCCTTGGAGCCGACAAGGAGCGGATGACTCCTGTGGTACTCCCACCCTATCCATCACGTCTGTAGCCAATTGCCCACCTCTCTCTTTCTCGACACACTCACAGTTTAACAAAATCCCAGATCAAAAGTGATTGTGACTGCAATGCAACAGGTCTCCCTTCCTTCTCTCTAAGCGAGCATCGTACCGGTATTAGAGGAGAAATTATTTTGTTCAAGTCATTGTATAATATTTAAGTTTGGAAAAATCTAAAGCTGGTCATGAGTCTACCTACTTTTTCTGTATAATACCTTTACTTTGAAAATACTGTCATCTGAAAATGCATGTAAATATAACCACAGTTTTGACTGTTGTGATCTCAAATGCATTTCTCTGTTCTGTTTGTGGACAATGAAGCAGCTCAAACAGCTGTCTCTGTGTGCTGTACGTAGCCCTCCTCTGCAGGTGATGTTGTATTAGCATGTATCATTTGTTTTGCAGCAAAGCTTCAGAATCCAAACCAAAATGAGGGTCTGCTCATAGAGGGGCTCCACAAACACAGAATGACGGGACAGCTCTAACCCCTAAAAAATCTCCCGTCTTGGTTATGGTGTACAGAGGCCAGGCAAGATCTAGAAAAGTTTAAGCTTCACAGCATGGATCCAGGCTGTGCAATAACCTCAGCTCTGGAGATCTGCCTGCAGTGCACCTTGCTGCAGAGACACGCCTGAGCATGCAGGCAGCAGAATGCCAGGGTGGTAGTGCTTGAGCTGTCCTGTATTTCTTCCCCTCGCAGTCCTCCGCATCACATTATTCCCTTCTCACCACTGCCAGGTGCCTGCCGGTCTCCTGCTCATCGGCAGCCAGTGAGCCGCATGCCTTTGGCTAGCTGCAATATGCAGTATAGCAAACCCACTTTGGGTTCCTCCAGCTGTCGGTCTTAAGCAGAGATGCCTCAGAAGGGTCCTTGGTCGTGTCCTGCCACCCTGGTATCCCTTCAGCTCTGCCTTCCCTTTACTTCCTTACACTTGTGGCAAAGCTGTTTTGAGAGAATGGGGATTAATTTTAATCGTGTGGAGTTTGTGACAGTTCTGGTCTTTCCCAATAGCAGAAGGATAAGGAAAAGCCATCATCAGAAGCAGCGTGCTACAAAGTGCTAAGTGGATGTACGAGGCACCAAGCTGCTAACGAAGGAAGGGCTTGTTTGCAAACTCCATGTGTGATTAGGCACAGGAAAGTTATTCGTGTGGGCCCTCTCAAGCCCAGATCAGAAAGGCACAGCGCTTAGATGGCTCGAGCAGATCTCAGTGAGATACCTCAATATTGTGCCATCAGAAAACTCGGGTTTTGAAAAATAGTGTTCTACTTGTTCTTGTTTGCTATGGTATACGAGATGTGCCCGGTATGAATGTAGGTAATACATGCAAAACCAAGCAAACAAAAAAACCTGAAGGACAATCTTGCAAGACAAGCACAGCAGCATCAGTGGGAAACACGGGGATTTTTTGGAAGCGGCACTCTGATCTAACTGCGCCAGAGCGGGAAATGCATGAGCCTTTTGGGGAAGATCAGGCTGGAGGAGGAACATGTTAAATGCAGCTGGCTTAAGAAGTGGCTCCTGGAACAGAGGAACGCACGAAGGCAAGTGCGGAAGAAAGGTAATTCTCGGGTACTGAAGAAGTCTTCTCTCAGCTTCCTTGCATTTCCAGCCTGTCTCAAAAGACAGGAGCAGAGTAAGGCAAAGCATGGGAACCGTCCACGCTAACGCAAGCAGAAACTCCCCGACAGACAATCAGATGTAATGAACGATACTCGTTGCTGCGACTGACGCCCCGTTTCCTCTTCTGACACCTCTGAGGGCCTCCCGGGGCTTGCGGAAGGGCTTTTCACTTGTCCGTCGCACACCGGAGAGGTGCTGGAGGTGGGGTCCCCGTCCCAGAAACTGGGGAAGACGTAAATGGAAAAAGGCATGAGCAGGACAATCCTTCAGTAAAGAATTACTCAATGCTTGTCTGCCGGCAGGGAGCTTTAGAGCTGCGACTGTGAAGGAAACAAGCAATCTGCTTGCAGCTTTCCACACACCAACAATATTTAATTATTAAGATAAGTCATATACTAACCATGATGTTCATTATTTTGTTTGGGGGTTTTTTTATGGAATGCATTTATAGGTCAATTTAAAAAAAGATTTTTTTCTGTGTTGTGAGCTATAGTGACAAATGAGCTGTGGGATTGTTGTATTTAAAAGGTTTTGCAAAATAAAAAAACTTTTTCCTCTTTTCATGTAATTTATCCTGCAGTAATCTGCGTAAAGCCCGTGCCAGGGGGGTCTGCGAGGGCTGGCTCCAGCTGTGCAGCCGCACGGGCCTGCACCACCCCTCCTGAAGCCAGCAGGACCTGCTCCAGTTACTAACGTTAATCATACGTGTTTTTGCAGGACCAAAGTCTTTATTTTTCCCACAAAGGTCCTGTGATTATTTTACTAGCCTGAAATAGTAATTGCCACGCGTTTCTCTTCTTTACCACCACCAGGTAATAGCTTTCTGCTTAAAGCAATGACCATCGGGAAGAAAACCAGGCATTTCTGCAGTGCCACCGTCTTTTTACATTAATTTATCGTTTCTCATATCAACAAGGTTTGTAGGAAGAGACAAACTGGAGGGCTGTGTCCTGCGAGCTGTTCTGTGGGGATCACCTCTGCTGCAAAGCCCCCCCGCGTGCTGAGGTGTCTCTTTAGGGAGTGAGCATTGCCCGCCGGGGACTGCGGGACCGCGGGCCTGTTCGTTAACCAGATAAACAGACTTCTAATTAAAATTCAGCATTGCGGCCTTCGCTGAGTCCGTATCGGGTCACTCCCTGGCTTCTTTCCCATCTCCCCAGTGGTAAAACAAAACTAAAGAAAGTACGATTCACTGACATTTATCAAGTCCGAAACCTTCGGATGAAAAGTTCCTCTGAATTAAAAACCTTGGTTCCTAGTAACTGCCTATAAAGGCCTTAATTACTATTTTTTCTTAAACTTCATCCAGGAAACACTTTTCATCCACTGACGACGGGGACGCCAACCCCACGGCCGGCGCCCGCCCGGAGGCGATGCCCAGGCTCTCTCCTCAGGCGGGAGGACCTGCCCTGGCAGCC